TTGGACTCTCTTGGATGACAGTACCGTACACATCTATATGAAAGTAGGATGACGTCAAATAAGTTAAAGATATTTTTAACCTCATCTTCATAAAAATGGAAACTTTGGAATAAAGGACATGAACTTTTCCAGCTCTAAGGTACGTTTCAGGAAGATTATGTTCATGAAGTGGAATGAAATCCTTGGAAGTGGTAGATGACATTCCTCCACCTCTATTTTTAGGCCAAATCGCAGTTGGTGCTTTTAGTGGATTTCATTATCCCAATATGTAAACTGGTAGTTGGTGATAATGTAACACTTTCCTTTTTTAATAAGGTTCATGAATCTGTCAATATGTTGGTCAGCAGTAATAACAACTCTCATCCTTACCCCTTGCTTAATGACATGTAAAACAGAGTGAAGGTGACTGAAAAAGGATATCGTTACACTGACGAGTAGCATTTTAAATTTAGAGTAGTATATGTTGAGTTTAATTTTTTTGCATTGTGGTCCATGAAAAATCATTCTTACACGGTGGTCGATGATGATGAAGTCAAAAGACTTTTGCTTGCAAAATGTGCCATACCACGTATGTCCGGCATGGGTGTAAGTATGATTGAACTGTCATAGAACCCTAATGCAAATGCATCCCCCCTTGACTCCAGCATGCAGCTCGTTTATTGGAGTAAATCCCATCAAAGCCATCTGAAACAAGTTTGGCAGAGGTTTCTTTCTTTTCTTAATAGTTTGATTAGTGATGATATATTAGGATGGTCGTGCTATTTATAGCAAACTCCATGACATGTAAGCATGTTTATTGGTGATATAAGTTCGATATTTGAAATGTGATGGTGTCATGCAGTGGTGTGACTATTTAGGGCGAGTATCAGTTTCTGGACTACTCCTGCACACACCATCAATGCCAGTAAAGTAGTGCCTTGCATCACCGCTTGTTTGGATCGCCTGGGCTGAATAGTCTGTTCCAAAGTTTTTCCTGAACCATAATAAATGAAGATTACATAGTTTGATACAATGTATGTACGTTACATTTATTAACGCTAGGTGATAGTTATCCAAATTTCTTTCCTTATGTTTGTATTGTTAAGTGTCATGTAATTTTTATACACAAGTGGAAGTATTAATTATTTATGATGCTGACTGGCGACGCAAATGTTAGTTGTGTAGATTATGTTTAAGCTTGAATCGAGTTTACTAGCTTCCAGAGTGCTAAGTTTCTCATCAAAACTGACAGTGCATATTTTTTTTTTGTATGGCATAGTGGTCTTCTGGATGATTTTGCCATACAAAGATTTGTGTGCCTATTACCTATATAGATATGCTTGTAACATATATGGTTGTTGACCTTTATGATAATATTACTTAGTGTAACATGATTTCCTTCCTGTAAGCTCTTGTTTTGTCAATACTTAAAGTACAACATGTACTTTGATTTGTTCTTGACATGCATTAATTTTTATTGAACTAAAGATATTGCTCGTTAATTTGAAGTGAAAAAAATTATAAATATTAATAAAGATATTTGCAATGGTGGACTCAAAAAAATTAATTACAGGGGGCAAAATTTAAACTAAATATAAATGTTGATGTTGGAGAAAAAAATATAAATATTAATAAAAAATAAAATATGACAATTTATAAAATATTAATTGATGACTAAAAAACCTTGAATGTTATTGTTATTTGATGTAAAGGTATGGGAGGTTCAATGGCAATGGGGGAAAGAGTCATTTGAATTAATTTATTTGGAAAATATCCATATTATATATTCTAATATCTGTTACATATTTTGGCATTCCATTGAAGTGCAATTTTATTTAATGGTATTTATGTAATTGCAAATTTGCAAATGGTGGACAATTATTTTTATAACTTCATTATAGGTAAATATTCAGAACGTAATTATGTTCATATAATTGGCAATTATTTACATTAATCTTTTGTGAATAAACATTACTTTCGTTAAGTTAAAATGATTAATATATGTCTTAGGTTGAAATAATTTTTGCAAGAGTAATAATAATGAATGAAATACAAGAAACTGGAATATTTTTCCAAAATAATAATGGGAAGGGTTAATAGTTCTATAAGCAATAAAGGATTTCTTAATAATAATATGAAATTAGTATTAACTTTAACCAAAATGCATAAAGGCAGGTAAAATTGTGTGTGAGTTACATTTTGCAAGGCATTAAGCCTTAGCTTCTCATGCCTAAATACAATGATGAGGACAAAAGTTGTTTCACATCAATTAATGTTTTGGAAGACCTCCCTACAAATGACATTGGTCGTTGTTGTTTTCGGTTTCTTGTTAGAATCAAGAATGAGTATCTTTAAGCCTGCAATTGATTTGACTTGTGAAAGAGCAACATAAAGTTGTCTTCTCCTAAACATGTTGATGATCAGAGATGCAATGAGAAAACAACATGCTTACAAAGAATTTTCGTAGGTATGGACCACTTGCCCAAAATTATGCTTCTATAATAGCATCAATATACTCTTGATCATCGTCTAGAAGGCCAAGTGCAAACATGCAGCCCTGAAAGTTGGATGCACAATACCTTCCACAGTCCTAATTTGCTCAAATGATATTGGACCCTTAACTTTTGTTAGCAGAACTTGAAGATAATATAATTTCCCTGATGATGGTGTCACATGAGTAATCCTGCCAATAGCAAAACCTCCTTTTCTTTTAGTCCATTCCTTCTCCTTGCGAATGAAGACATACTTGTGTGGGAATTCAATGTAAGTAAGTTTTCTTGCTTGAGCATCTAATTCATTGCATTTCATCCAGGCTAAGAACTAAGATTCCTTGACTCTTGATTTGTTCAAGAGGTTGCTAACCTTTTGTTTCCCTTTGTATATTACTAAGTTTTGATTTGAAAGGTGGAAACTTAATCTTTCAACAGAAGGAAAGTGGTGGTGATTTTCAAATGAGAAAATTCACCAAGCTGCTTCACAAGAAGATATATACCTGAAGTCATAATAATGTTTAATCTCATCAAATAAAGCTTTTGGATTCCTTTGATCATTGCCATAAATGCCTACAATGACTCAGTCACTATCCTTGCTAATGTATTTGAATAAATATCTGATCAAACTTGACTGGTTGGTTTTTTCAACATCCAAATGTGCTTGGAATAACTTTAACAATGTTGGATTGTAGGGAACAACATAATGATTATCCAATTGACTGCCTTTCTTCTTAATTGTTCGACTATCATTCCATCTTCTATAATTTGGGTAGCCATTATCATCAATAACTGAATGGTCAACAAATTTCTTAGGAAAAAACTTACCACATTTTCCTTCGCTCATGCAAGGTGAATTTCTATTTGCATGTCCACAAGGACCATGTAATATGTGATTCTTGACCAATTCGTATAGTACAGGATACTCATCTTTGTTTGGGATCTCGGCAGAGATTTTTTCATCAAGATCTTCAGTTGTTGTTATTTTGAATTGATGTTCGAGAAATAATAGGATATGAGCATGTGGCAATCCACGCTTATGACATATATCTTTGCAAGGTTACAAGATTTCCATGTAAGGATTAAAGATCATATTGAAAAGGAAATGATCTATGGAAAAAATCAATTTCTATAATGTCAATAAAGGGTTGTTGGATATTAATTGGATGGGATAAATAGAACTGGTTTGAAAGTTTAGAATCGTTACCTACGCGGACGGGGCCAAAGATTTCCTTTTCTTTCACAACTTTTAATAGTGCTTTTGGCTTTAATTTAAAGACACAGGCATAGAATATTCTGGTCTATTAGGTGCATTTAAAGACTTATTGGAGCAGAATCTTTGAATTTCAGGCTATGCAGGATTACATGTGAAAGTAAAAAAAAAGCTAGATAGCCTGCCCAGCGACATATGGCCATGGCATCTTAAAAATTTTGTATCATGTATCTTGCACCACCAGTAAAAGAAGATAGCAGTATGATCCTTTTCCCAGTTGACGAAGCATCTGTTTCTTCTCTCATAATTACATCAGATAATCCTTGATAAAGATTAGCTCTTAATTCTGTTTGATAGTTTCTAATGTAGTCGAGGCGTTGTGCTTCCATCATAGTATAACCATCAACAATAAATTGTTACAAGAGCTGTTTTGCATGAAGTAACAATGATATCTCATCTGTTCTATCCAATAACTTGTATGCTAAATACTCCCTGATGATCAATGTTTTTATATTTTAGGGAGGTTCTGTTACTTGATAGTTGTGTTCAACTTTAGAATCATATCCTCCAGTGCTATCAAAAAAGAGTAATGGATATTACAAAGGAAGGTATGCATAGTGAAGCTCGTTAATTCATTTAAGTTTGCCAGAGGTTTTCTCAACAATGATGTATCTTTTATAGAATGAGCTATCAAAATCACCTACAATTAATGCTGCAACCTCTGATGTGATAGGCAAGTTGTAGATCCTCTTGTCAGTTGATCTAGTTCTTAATAAGCATAATTTCAAATAAATCTGTGGATTGGTTCTCAAAATTTGAGAAGCCAACCTATATTTCTTTGCATAAGGGTTGACTTGGTCCAAGCAAGCTCTGATTTCATTAACAATAAGAGGATCAAGAACTAACGATGCATCATATTGCCTATTCATTTAGGTAATGTGTATATTAGATTACGAGACAGCTCAAGTAGAAAAAGAAATCATTTGCCAATTTTGCATAACAAATATTAATTAACTTACCTCACTGCTAATATACGATTTGATATTTCATTTTCTCTATCATAAATATAAAGCTGGGAGTACACAGGTGTTGATCCTTTTAATGGTAGCAAACTTTTGATACGATAATAATTTTGGCCAGACAAGATGAATGCATAAGGACCACCGCCAGAGTTGATTGAGTGATGTATTTTGCCCTTATAGATGTAAAAGAAAACATATTATTGTATTGCCTGATATTAGAAAGGAAGTTCTTTGACAATTTTGACTTTTTGTCTAGATACAAGCTATGAAACAAAGGAGGAGGGTCTTTGACAGGCGGTAGCTTAATTTTTCCATGACAGCAACAGAGAGAGAAAATAGGTTAGTTGGAAGAAGAGAGTCTACAGACTCTTTCGTTTAACCATAGTAGTCCATGAAAATAAATGCATTCATGAATTGCATCCCCCTCATCTATGTAACCTATAAAAGAAAGTGTAAATCAAATAAAATTTTGATTGTTACTTTTAGTATAGCTGTCAATTACAGCCAGCTCGGCCTTAAAAGGCAACCCTTAAAGGGCCAAGGCTTAAATGGGCTAGCCCTAATAAGCGTGATTATGTTTCAGAGTTTCTTTTTATAAGGCTTGGCCCTAGCCCTCAAGGCTGAAGGGCTGGCCTTCAAGGTCTCAACCCTTTTTTTTAGCTTTTTTCAATTTAAAATTCAAAAAAATATTTTGATAATCCTAAAAAAAGTTATTATACATAAAATTAATTTTAAAAAAATAAATTTAAATTAATTTACACCATAATAAATAAAAAACTTAAACATTCAGGTTTAATATCAAATAGTAATATTAAAATTAATACCAATAAAAATTAAACTTGGATAACATTATTAGCTAAATCTTAATGAATGAATGAAGGAGGGACGAATGAGTCTAATATATTTATTTCTTTTGGTTATATATTTAATCTTTTACTTTTTTATAATATAATTTTTTTAAACAAAAGTAAAAGGGCTTAAAAGGGCCCCTTTTAAGTCCGAATAACCATTTTTCCTTTTAAAGTAGGGGCTTGGCCCTAGTTATTTTTGAGCTTATAAAGACTGGCCCGATGGGCTCAGCTGTAATTGACAGCTCTAACTTTTAGCAATATGATAACAAATTATAAATTAAGCAATATAATAAGAAATGAAAAATAAAGTGTTAGGATAACATTGAAAATTTCCCAGACTATACAATAGAAAAGAAGAAAAGAAAGAATCCATATGTACAAGCATTTATATTATTTAAATAAAAAATTAACATTCTATCAACAATGGAAAGAATTAAGATGGCCTTTAAACCAAAATTGTGGGTTTCGTGATAGAAATATTAGGAACAAATGATGATTTAGCATTAGGACATAATATTGAATGATGGAATAACTATAGGGAAGACAAATATAAAAAAGGCAAGGTGTGTTCAGCTATGATAAATCAATGGGATCCATTTATTATTAGTCAAGTTACCAGAATCAGTACGAATGTTGGTATTATCATCATTATCTGTATTACTTTCGTTTCCTTCACTGTCCAATTCAGATGACGTGGAACCTGATTTCAAATACACAAGTTCAAAGTAAAGACATATTGGTTATAAAGGGCATGTCTTAATTATTAAAGATATTTTGTAAGGAAGCAATTGAGACCCATGTATTTCTAGGATGGAGTAGTAGGAATATGGCGTACCTTGTATTGTTGTGAATTCAAATGCAGTATAGAGGTTTCGTGTAACATTCTTGGCACGAATCTTTGCCTGGTTCTTTTGGTGTTCCTCCTGTCTATTTACTTGCAATATGGAATGCATGGCTTCTGATGGTTGCGTATGGTTAGCCATAATATCTAACATGAAGGTTGAAAATAAAGATAGAAAAGACAATTAGGAATAAAACTAAAAAGATGGTCATTTCCTTGGAAAGTTAAACTCATATTAAAAGACCTTGGCTTCCACAAATGTTCGAAGAACATTGCTCTGATAGCTTTCGAAATCTTGCACTTTTAACTGGCCTAATGGGTATCTCATAGTGGAATCCTTGAAAATCATGGGATATTAAGTTATTTGTCAGGGAAAACATTGATAACTTGCTAATTGGAGAGGTAGATGTTTGATATATTCTCTTGTGAAGAAAGCATACCTTGGTGATTAGTAATGTCTTGCAATGGACATCTCATAGGCATTGATGATGGTTGAACTTGTATAGTTTTCTCATGGACCAATGATTGTTCTGCTTTCCCAATTGAATGTTGTAGGCATAACTCTGTGGGATGCTACAATTAGTAGAACCTTTTGCTCTTGACTATAGAAGACATGGAGGAAGAAGTTTACGAGGATGATAGGAGGAGAACCTTTAGTGTTGCGACTGATGGCATTGACAATGTGGACAGTGGGTTGATATGTTTTTATAACTGTCAAAGTTTACATGGCAATAGTTGCATGGCGGGAGGATAAAAGGCATGAACCAATTTTTAGAGTTTGAGGCAGGAGGACAAGCACTGCCATGATGTAATTGATCCCGACAAATGTGCTGTAAAATATGTAAATATGTCATATTTGGAGAGAACATCACCTTTCAAAATTAAAGTGACTATGAATTGCGTTCCATGTCATTTACACGTTATAGAGCAAATTATACCATTAATGAAAATCATAATTTATGCATGGATGTTTAATTTTGTACTTATGAAGAAGTCAGCTTTGGCTTCTTAATGTGATTAGTATGTAATTATTAATTCATAGACAAAATAATTAGATGATAAAATTCTAGTTAAATGATAAAGAATATTAAATGAGGAACTATATTTTAGATTATTTTCATTAATGAATTGATCGTTAAAAATATATCCTTGCATGGTTTGCAAGATCTAACATGTTATGTCACTTTAAGCATTATTTGATGTAATAATTATGAAAATTTTTGAACGATATATTAATGTTGTCATGAATTGATTAAGAAATAAATTTGTTCATCACATGTAGGAAATAAACAATTGAATGTATGACAGTACACATTGTAAACAAAATCTTCAAGTCATTAACATGATAAATAATGAAAGTTAAAAATTGGCTATTTAATAACTTTAGGTCAGTACAAAAGATGTTAAATGATTTGTGTATGAATTTTTGAATTTATTAATAACTAAATAAATTGAATATCTTTTAGTAACGAAGACAAAAGTCAAATTTATAAACAAGTACTCAAGGTCATCAGAAGTTTCGTTTTGTTGATACAAGCAAGAAGGTTATGAAATAGATAGCAACTGAAACTTTCAAAGTCATTGCACGATCATAATTGCACAAAAAGGAACATGATTGACAAACAAGTGACATAAAAAAAAGCATGGAATTCTAGAACTCAAGAACATAATAGTTTGTGAAGAACTTGAACAATGATTCTCATAACAGAAAATGCACAAGACATAATGACACTGGTTAATTGCAAATGATCTAGGTCTCTCTCTTTTTTTGATAATTCTGGCAGGTTTGGTTGTCAAGAGCTTTGGAGTTTTCATCTCTGATATACCAACAAGTTCTCCGTCATTGGTCAAAGTCTTACATGAATCCCTTTTTTTACCTTTAGAAGCAGGTGTGTTGAACAGGTTTGCAATTGGTAAGTCATTGGAATCAAGGTCTAAGATAGGTAAAGCCTTACTTGTAAACCCTATAGATGGACAAGTATCTGGAGTTGTTTGCATGGCATCTGTGTCGGACACCTGACATGACTGTAGAATTATAATAAGCATAGGTTAATGGTTTGTAAGTGGAGAGTCATAATGCATGCAAGTGCAAGGGAATTACTTGTGTCTGTGAAGCCTCCTTCATGTCACTATGTTTTAGAACCTAGCAATGAAAAAAATATCAGGAATGATATAAGGAAAGATTGCATCTGAAGTTGACAAAATAGATCACTGACCTGTTCATCTGTATAAGTGAACGATTTTAGTTCGTCCTCATCTCGACTAAATTGAGAGACCTTGAGACTTGTGTTCCTGTACTGTATATTATACTTTGTTAGCTTTAGTTTAAGCAGCATTTCTATTCCTACCAATTTATGTAGTTCTCTGAGGAATGATTATGGTCTATCATCTTGTCATGAATAGCTTTAAAATAAGCCAAGATGATAATTTTAAAGTATTATAGACAAGGTGTATAAGCATTTCGGTATTCCATGAACCTGCTTCAGTGCATCTTTGAGGGTTGAAGTAGTTGTATCCAAAAGTTCTGTCATGTGTCTATCAAAGAAAGCAACAGATATCTCCCTCGTGTTATTAGCAACAATGTAGTGAACCCTAAACCTGAGAAAAGTATGGTGGATTAGTGATAGTAATGTGCATAAGGAGAATACTATGGAGGAGGAGCTTCAAATTACTTGGGACCCATTTCAATTATATATGTTTTACATCCACCGCAATAAAGTTGACCATTTCGAACTCTTGGTTTAGTTGTACACGAATTGCAACCATCATATGTCCAACCATTGGCAGTTTGTAGCTTATAGATTCTTCCCTTGGTACCAAATTCCATCTCCTATGAGTGCATGATGGTTGTTGTAGACATATATTAGATAATAGGCAAATAAAACAAAATAGGCAATTATAAATATTTGGTAACTGAAGTTCAAACTTGTTGGGAAGCAATAATCTCTGATATATGAAATCTTTTGCCAAGTTTGTTATTGAACGAACAGAGGAGAGTCTTGTGTCCTGTGCAATGATCTGGGTAAAACTCCAAGGATGTGAGATGGGAGTCTGATGTAGCCTGAACATATTGGTCAATGCAACATGTAAAATAATAGTTACTAATTGAATTAAATTAAAGTATTCTCTAAAAGAATTTATTTAAAAAATCTAATTCTTTTGAAACAAATGGTAAATGCAATTTCATAATTCGAACAGTTATTAACTTTTTCATGAAATTATTAATTATTAAATAAATTATAATTTAATATTTAATGTTAAAATATGGTAGTGAAAGATTAGTTAAATAGTAAATATTAAATTATATTAATTTATCTACACAGATTTGAAAGTGACAAATGAATGAATAAATCAATATTTACTATAGGGACTAACAAAATGAAGAAGTTAAATGTTCAAAATACAAAAAATTTTAAATAATTAATAATTAATAATGAAACTTGTATTAACAAATAAGGTATATTACATGCAGGAATGCCAAGTATGAGATCTAAGAAAAAGGACTATTTGCTTCAAGAATGCTAACTATGAGATACATGAAAAATGATTGCTTACCTGTGAAGCAACTGTTTTGCTTGAGGTATACCTGGATTATATGAGACTTTGGTGGCATTATATGTGTTGTTGATCTGGATGTTACCTGCAAAATATGATCACATTTGCCATAATCAATTATTGGATGATAAGGATTATATACATAGCAACCCATATATGAGGAACTTCATGTACCATCCTTGATATCTATTCGTGCAAATTGAATGGCTATGAGTATTGGTGGCTCCATGTCATCCTGCTTACTCTAATAAGCATTAGCAGCTACATCTCCCCAAAGCAAGCAATTGATAGTCCTATCCCTGCATAAGAGAGCTAGGAGTTGTCAAACTCATGCAAAAAAAAAAAAAAAACCAGCATGTCCAAAATAGAATGCAATTTTTTTTTTAGGGGATTACTCTTCGTCTGCTATTGTCAAGGTAAGCCTACTTTGTGGTCCACTTTGTGTCCGATATTCTTCAAGTGATCCAAAAGATTTTAGGAAGCCAATGATGTCTAAGACAAGTACAATGAGAAAGTGACTTGGCAAAGTGAAAACCAACATGTAAGAGTAACAAATATCAAGGATGGTCTATTGCGAGATTAGTCATTGATACTTGCCAATGAGAACATCTATCTTAAGTGTTTTGCGATTTTAATCATCCAAGAGCCTCTCAATTGGGACAATGTCAAAGTGGTCTTCTGGTATTACTGCATCACAAGGTTTAATGAATGTATTGACATGGAAACTTAGCTTCCATGGATGCTTTGTTGGCCTATAATTCCACTTGTTACGAGAGATTGTGAAGTTCTCAATAAAATAAACTCCTCCTTCAGCTGGTTCATTTCTGAATTGCTCGTGCAAGGCTTTGTTGCCGACATCAGCTTCAATAATAGATGACTTTGAAAGAGGAACACAATATGACATGATTGTGAGACATGATCAGCAACAATTATAGAAGATAAATGCTCCATGAGGCACGACAAATAATCAATAACATACCTCTTCATCCATTAATATCATTACAATTGACACCGGGTCAAGGGGAGGATCTCAGTGAAGTTGAGTCCACTTACTAATGCCTCCTTTATGTAGTCAATATCTTTGATTAATTCGTAGTCCATCGTTCTTAATGGATGTTGGGATGTAGAAGTTAGGAGAATCAGGACAACATGTAATGCAGTTGAAGTAAAGGAAAAGAAGTCATTAGATGAGTGAAATGTTTTCAATAGATGTCCTTATTTATAACATGCATGATGGATTGATTCGTTGGCTTTGGCAATGTGTTTGAACATAATGATCTTAAGTTTTTGTAAGAAATAAATGTCAGATAACATATGTATTAATAAAATATGCAAGACTAATATCTACTCTATGGTCTAATTCTATTGAATATACAGTAAGAACACATTATTAAATGGTGATGACATCATCCAAATAAAATTATCACAATTGGTGGGGGAGGGAAAAGTGGGTGCTAAATTTTGGCACCAACTTTAAACCACCTGCACATTAACAAATCGCCGTCTTGCAGCTTCTTATTAATGGACAAAACTGACAAATGTCAGCAACTAAACAAGCTTCATTTGTATGGCACTCAAGAATGACTTAAATCCCTTTTGCCACCCCTTGATGAAGCAGATTTTACAGCAATTAGCTGCTTGTCTACACATTGGAGGCACTGTGACAGTAAAGAAATGGTGAAGCAGTGCTGTTTAATGCCAATCAAGCTGTAACATTATCATTTGCCTCCTCTTCCACTCTTGCATCTAACATGTTTCACATTATTAGGAGGACACATAAGTGCTATTAGGTTTTATTGAAGCATTTGATAACTTCTATCACAAATTATACTTTTGGTGCCTACCTGGTAAGGATTAGTCAATTTGCCGAAGTGTTTAATGCAATTGGGAAAAGAATTTTGTGACAATAAAAGAAGAGACAGATTTGTACAGAGTAGGGATGCTCTAATATTAACTCAAATGGTGTGCTTATCAAGATGGGTTAATGATTTCATGATGACAAATAAACCTTGAGAAAAATATCATTGTAACTACCATGTGGCGAGATGAAAAAAGACAATATGAAAGAAACTTTTAACTTGAGGTTTTTCAAACTGCATTTGAAAGATCAGCTTATGTGATGTTGTGGCAATCATCAGTAATTATGTAGAGATATTATGGTTCAGTGTGTGCTTTTCTTTCTTATTTACTCTCTCTCTCCCCACATGATATTCAATATCTGGTGATAGGCATACTCTGTAATTAGAGTTAAGGCCATGCAAATTTGCACAACAACAAACTGTGAGGGGTTTTCATTATCTGTTTCAGAGCTCAATTCATTTTCTTCAACTTCAGTTATATTGCCCCTCCAAGATAACAATCATGTTATTATGTAATATGTGAGTTAAAGAAGTTGCATATACACTCCTTGGATATCAGAATATATTATTGTGAACTGTGATTTTTCTACCTAGTTTTTGTTTTTGTTTTTGAGTTCTTTTGTCTTTCAAATAAATGCTTATTAGTGGTTATAACTTTTTTTTAATGGAACTTTATATCAACATAGGTTGTGGAGGTTGCTCAACATACTGCTTCCTTGATTGCAAGGTAGTAGGGGGTTGGTTTCAGTCATGGGATGCTAAACACTGATAATATGAGTATTTTGGGTATAACTATTGATTTTGGTCCATTTGGCTTTTTGGATGCTTTTGATCCAAGATTTACCCCCAACATTACAGATCTTCCCAATAGAAGATACTGTTTTGCAAACCAGCTAGATATTGGTTTGTGGAATATTGCACAGTTGGCAAAATTGTCAGATGTTATGATAATGTATACTAAGGCAAAAGGACAATTGAAAGGACACATTGGGACGTGATAGATAGCAACTAAAAACACTCACATTGCTAATTCCATGCTCATGTGATTTGAAGGCAAAAGTTACATGCATTAACAATATGCCAAGTGCATTAAGCACTTATTTAAGTACTATGTGATAGACATTTATCATAAGAAATAAATGAGTTATTAAATCTAATATTTGTCAGGAGCAAGGGTAAAATTTTTTGTTTTATTGTAATCAACTTAAGTCTTCTTGCTTCTTTCTCATCATCATTTTTGTTTGAAGACAAAGTTCAAATAATATAGAACATTATTTGTTCTATCCTTCAAATACCGTATTCCTCTAACTTTGATGGATTATATTTGAAATTCCTGAGACTATTGAGTTTACGATTCATGTTCACTTTTCACATTAGAAATAATTTACTACTCCACATGTAGATGTCAAAAAAATCTGATATGGTGTAACTAATAGGCTTCAAATCTATGAAATAAAATGCAAGAAAATTTAGAGGAATCGACGAAAAATGTAATGCATGGAACAAAAAGAGGATATGACACTGAAGTCATATTAGACTGACATTAAAGGAGAACAGCTTCAAAATTAGGCATCATCCCAATAACACGGAGATTACACCATAAGCCCGCATTAAAGTGTGGGTGCAAAGTTACAAGCCATTAGCCATCCCATGTAAAATAAAACACATCAGATCAAACTACGGATTAAAGAGTCAAACAAACTAAATGAGATGAGAAACTTGGGTCTAGCCCATAACAAATACGTTAACACGCGTCAACTCAATTAGTAGTGCTCAAAGCGGTGGAGAGGAGGTTTCGCTTCAATTGACTAAATTTAGACACGTCGGGGTCAAAAATGACTGTTGTGGCAGTGGAGAAATTTGTGACAATGGGGATACCTATAACATAACATGAAAAAGAAAACCTAGACAAAACCCAACACTTAAATCTTATATAACATTATATAGACATGATGTAACATAACCTGCATAAAGATCCTCAACAACATATAAGATAATGACAACTAAATCAATAACCCCAATGTAGTTGATATAGTCTCTTGCTCCCAACACTGCAGCTTTCCCATACAAAAGACATGTTATCTTCTCAAGCCTGGACATAAACAGAAGGGGTTATTCATGAAATAAAAAGTATGCACATAATAGAGACTATCATGCAAAAAATTCTCTAAAGGTTGCCAATACTTTGCGCTTTCAATGACAATGGCCAAATGATTAGTAAGATCTCTACCAAGCCAAACATTGCTCAAGTCAGATATCTCTACAACCTTGCCGTACACATCTGGGAGTAAAGAAAAGATCAACGTAATGAGATGGTCAATTACAGTACTAATAAAATAAACATACATAAGGTATGGACTCTACCAAAGCATTGCCTTTCAAGCACGAGGCTTAGTTTCAAAGAAGCTATGTTCGTGAACTGAAAGTAAACCCTGGGAAGGGGCAGATAGCACTCTTCAATTTCTGTCTTGGATGAAAAGCGGACTTGCAATTTTACATGGAACTCGTCGCCCTAAAGAACGGCCTGAACATTTGTCATTATATAACAATGCCCTTCCTTAATGACAGACGACCACCTATCGATAAGGTGTTCGGTTGTCAGAGTTGCACGCATCCTTGCTCCCTATCAGAGATAAAACATGAATGTTACACTACACGGGCGTAAAAAGAGAACTGACCATGCGATGAAAAATAAAAGTGAAGAATAAGGAAGCTCTTACTCGATGGTCGACTGTGACAAAGTCGAAAGATCTAATCTTCTGCAGTGAACCATACCAAGCATGGCCAGAAATGTTGTAAGTGTGGAGGAAGACACGAACAACCCGGACACATATCCGACAACCATCAACTCCAGGCTGGAGTTCGTTTAGACAAAGGAATCTAGCTGATGCCATGGAGGCCTCAGTGAAAAGAGTAACACGATCTGATATTGAAGGCATTTGCACAAGATTGACTGGAGAAATCTATTTCTCACTGATTGATTTTGCACAGAACAGATGATTAGGCTGTTCTGCCTTTATGAAATCCTTTCTGGCACATGATGAAGGGCGGTGATATATGTGTTGTCGAAGGCAGTCAGAGTAACTACATTAATAACCCACATTCCAGAAATTACCAAAAAAGTTGACAAAAAATATTCATTAATGAAAGGATATGGCTTCAATGGATGAAAATGTCAGTGAAGCATGAAATGAAAGGTTGAGAGTTAAATAAAATGCCAGGCTTTAATTATAAATGAATAGTAGAAATGCTGCAACAGACAGACACGATGGCAGAAAACCAAAAGGAGCTCACACATGGACTTCAGAATGAAAGTCTTCCATGACATTACTGGTGCCCATTAAAAAAGGAAATGATGAAATCCAAACGTGCTGTTCATGCCATCACTTGCATCGAGACAAAAAATACATGCGGATAGAAGATTACATTCCAATTCAATTGAATTCTCTTCTATGTAGGACCCAATGACTTGACTCTAATAAAAAAAAGGGTAATGTGATGACAGAGACTAATCATGATGGAAGACTCAATATAAATCTACCTATCCGCAACAAAAAGGAAACACTTTTAACATGACACAAATATTTAAAATATTTCACGTTATTATTGTCATGATCATGAGACAAATATTGAACTGACACAAATATTTAACTCATTTCTTGTATAAGCTAAGCTAACAATTTCACTCCATTAAAAATACTACCACATAGAACAAAAAATAAATACTAAAATAAAGTTGCCGGTATAACTACAATTGATTATGGTTAGATTGAAATAAAATAAAATTATGCCTTCTATGCCCAAAATGAATGCATAAGTTGGTTTATAACATCCTTGGCCCTCTGACGAAGGTGTTCATCATGCCAAGTAAAAAAAACCATAGCCAACAGCCTGCAGAAGACAACATATGATAGAACATGAAGGTATACAGAGTGAAGAACTACCTAGTGAATAAGAAGTAAAAGAGAAATCTCAAAGTAACTAAACAATGGCAGAATATCAAAGAGTCAGTTCATCTGGATCGTTGCCTCATGAAAGACAACCGCCTTCGACGAGATACCAAAGAAGGTCGTGCTGGATCAACCATGGAATAAGCATATAGATTGTGAGTAATGAAGCTTATGCAAAACCAAAGTGGAACTCAACTTAATGATGTGCTGTAGGTATTTATTGAAAGATATTCAAAACTCAAAAGGAATCTGAAGAAGCGAGAATGAAGGGGTCTGAGTGATGGGAGGGAAACTTAAATGATGTGAGCCCAAGTTTTGTTAGCCAAATGCCAAGCCATCACTACTCATCGTAGCCGGTCCTATTCATCCAGTATAAGCGAATGATGGACACCTTCGTCAGAGGGCCAAATGCTAAGCCATCACTATTCATCGTAGCCATCACTGGTCACCCCTTTCAAAGTATTATCAATTCCATAAATTTGATGCTTTGTAGGAACTTGTGAACTTTAACTTTTTATATAGAGATGATAATAGGATGGCTGATTACCTTGCTAAGCTAGGCCATAGATCACCCAATAACTTTAGTATTTTTGATATCCCACCCTTTAGCTTATTAAGGATGGTTGGTTTGTTTTTCTTTTTTGTTTGTTTTGGGTCCTGTATTGTTTTCACATTCTGTTGAATGAGTATATCATGTTCATATTCAAAAAAAAAAAGTATGAGCGAATGAGAGAGGAGCCAATGGAATTTGAACAGCTTCAAAAGACGGGTTTTGTATAAGATATTAGATTGGTCCTTTGGGACTTAATTATTATTTTTCCAAATAGATTAGCAAAGAAGGATGAAAAAGAGGACAAAACAATTTCCATCAAGTCTTGGAGTAGAGAACCAACCTTTCAAAAGTTGGAAACTTGTTACATTCTTGAAGATTTACCTTAGTGCATTAATTTTTTTTTTTTTTTGAGATAAACAAGGAAAAACAAAACAAAGCTAAAAAAAATAGGTACGGTTCAAGGAGGGTCAAAGAATACGTTACTGAAAATCTCCTCAGGTTGGAGAAAATGAAGTCCAAGGGCAGAGTTCAATGCCATCTTAGCACGCCAATCACCACCAAGATTGCCGTCTCTTGGAATAAATAGAATTCTGACATTCCAGTCTCTTTGCAAGAATGCTTGAGCCTCCAAAATCAAATCAAGATTGCAGTGTCTTAATTTTGTTTTGCTATGTAAGCATTTTGGACCAATGACTTCGGAGGTGAAAAAGTAAACTGACTCTTACATTATAAATTTAAGAGTATATGGGATTTCAAATTTTTTTCATACACCATTCCTCTTCAACTTTTGAAATGGCATAATCTAATTTTTGCAATTAATAAAAATTAATTTTAATCATTAACTGATTAGAAAATAATAAAAAAATTAAAAAGTATATAAAAGAATCAATAAAATTTTTTTAATCTTTTTCCGTAATTTTTAGGTCCTTGTTTATAATTTTTGAATTTTACTATAATATTTTGTTCATTTTTTGTAATTTTTGAAATTTTTTTATCATTTTATGATCATCTAATTATTAAAATTAATTTTTATTAATGATAAAGAATAAATTATATTTATTTTAAAAATTAAAGGGAAATATTGTAAAAAAATGGGTTTAAAATTTTAAAAGCTCCTAAATCAATAATTTTACCCCATGATTTTATGACCTAGTAACATCAAATTATCAAATTACCCTTCTCATGTAGAAGGCCGTCGATAACACTCGTTTCGATGACACCAAATTACACATGTTATGGCAGTATATAATTTAACTTTTGTTGGTCTTATGAGCTGATGTTCCAAGTCTGTAATCCAAATCCTTCAATTGTCAGTGTGATTTCTAGTCTGTGTTGTTCAGTATATTGGATCGTTGTCATTATATTTTTCCTTCTCTAGATGCTTCTCGGGTTTACAGGTGGCTTCATCTTATTACTTGGAGAGCACATTTAGTGTTTCACCAAGATGTGATTTAAACACCATAGATTTAATCTGAACGATTTTAAAAATTTTTACTTTTATTTTTTATATTCTTATCAAAATAAAAAGTCATAAAATTTATAATAAATTTATTATAAACAGTCTATATTTAATTTAAATAATTGAAATTTAATTTATTTTTATATAATTTTTATAAATTAATCATATAGGTTTATCATGAACGGTTTAGATTTAAAACATTTAATTTTTAATTTCTTTTAAAAAAAAATTGGGAAGAGTTTGTCATGAGATTATCTTTAGCTTTACCTTTAATATTATATTTACCAAAAAAAATTTTAAAAAAAATTATAAAAAATTAATATTAAATATGAATTGTTCACAATAAATTTGGATAATCAATCTGTAAAAATTTGAATATTAAATAAGAGTAATTTTGACAATCTATATTAATAATGAGTAGATTTATTATAAAATTTTTATTTTGATAAGAATATAAAAAATATTAAACCTTAATTAAACTTAGACAATCCAGATCATATCAAATGTGATGAGCATTATGTTATCCCTATTACTTAAATGCAGACTTTGACTTCTCTCCTTTCCTTTTAATTTTGAAAGTCCAGGCTATATTGCAAAAGGATATGGAAGGAAAGAAAAATAAAATGCCAATACTATTTTGTATGGGCGATTAAACATGATCCACTCCAAATGTGCACTGAGTTTAGCAATAAGTTTCACATAATTTTTCCATTGTCTTCAACTTTTTGAAAGCCTTTTTGTTGCTATTTCTCGCCCGTTAACTAATTTTCCCTCAATATATGCACACACACATATATCATCACATAATTATAAATTTCAACCCTGGTTAAACTAAAGGTTTGATTGAGATCATTTTAAAGAAACACTTGTGTCATTTTTCTGACATATCTTATTATGACATTGTACCTAATAATATACTCCCTCCGGTCCCATTTATAAGTTCAATTTTAGAAGGTGTATTTGATCTCATTTATAAATCACGGTGCATCTTTTTAGGTAATATTTGAGAAGTATTTCCAAAATTACCCTTCATGAGAGAGAAAAAGTAACAGGATATTACTTTTTAGATTTGTTATATAGGGACATATTTGAAATTTTACTTACTTTTATTCCTTGTACTTTTATTGTATTGATATTGATGAGATTGGTAGAAATGACTTATAAATAGGACCGGAGGGAGTACTCCTTAAGAATCTACTTAAAAGGAAAATAAAAACGAAGAAATGTCTAAATATTACCTTGTAGGCAAGTCCAAGGCCTCTTTTCTTCCCTCTATATGCTGACAGAAAAGTTATCAGTCGCAATGGCACGTGATATATATTACTTTCAAGTTTCAAATTAATCTGATTGCTTCTGCTTCAATCTTTCTTCAGCTTGAAATCTGAGTATTCTCTTTTGCTTGCAGGTATGGAAGCCAATCGAGATCCTATGTGGCAGAGAATCTGGAAGATGGCAAATGCCAGAGAATACCAAAACTCTAATGTGGCAGATTGCTCATGACACCGTCCACACAATGGCTTTATGAGTACGAAGAGGGTTGGAGATAGCGAAGCCTTGCCTATTTGGTTGCAATGAAGTGGAAGATACTAGGCACTTGTTTAGAGATTGTCTCATGCAAAGTGTTGGTAATATTCCAATATATATACACACAGTACATCAATCTAATGTAGTTGTGGTTTCATTCGTTCTAATTAAAAATGAACTCAAACCCAATAAATATGGGAATCATTAATCATGTATTGTTGACTTGTGATCATTCATCTACAAGTATAACAATGAAGATGGCATCCCAACGTGAACAAAAACAGAACAAATTATGTAAATCATGTACAAGGGTTGTATAGCAAAAGCAACAACAGATAATAATCAGACATCAATGTGCACTATCATAAATTGATAGTTATTAAAAGGAAACTTTGTAAACAAATAATAAACATGCAGCTAAGATGTATGCTGTTTGTTGTTTAACTTCAATAATTTATAACATTCAGGATATTTTTAGACTTCACAGCAACTTACATTATTTTAATTCTTATTTATATAAAGTTTGTATTTAGTGTACATAGATTTAAAAAAAGAAAAACACTACTTTTGATCCCCGTTCTTTGTTTGAGTTTTGTTATAGATCCCTGCATTTTTTTATAATATTCTAAGTCCCTATACTTTTCTCCATTTACAGTGTTGGCCCTTATAGTTTCTGAAAAATGATGTAATACAAATGATGTTAAGATTGATAATGTGTCCATGAACACTATTGAGTTCATGTTATGTGTTAAGCAGATACTAAGTTGAACTTTATAATAGGCAAAATAAAAAAAAAACCACGTCAGATAAAAAAAAAAAAAGAAGCTCAACTTAAACGATTAGCCTCAGTATATATTAGGGCATCCAAGGACTTTTTATTTTATCTAATGTGGATTTTCTTAATTTTATTTTGCTCATTAAAAAGTCCAATTCAACACCTCTTTAACACATCAACACAAACTTAACAATGGCCATGGACACATAATTAATCTTAACACCATTTTTGTCACTCCAACATCTTTAAAACTATAGGACCAACATTGTAGATGAAGAAAAATATAAAAACCTAAAACACTGAAAAAAAAAAAGTGAATGAGCTAATAACAAAACTCAAATGAAATACAGGGACTAAAAGCAGTGTTTTTCCTTTAGAAAAGTATCTTTACACCAGATATGATTAGGATGCACGACAGATCTCCTGCTTATCTGCTCATTTGACATTATCTATACAGGGAATGTCATAAATTGATAGTGATTGCATAGATCATGTTCATAACCTTATATACAAACAAGGGAAAATAACACCAAAACATCAATTACTATGTTGCACTTCATTGCAGCTAGAGCAAAGAGAACAAAAGCACATACCAAGAGGAAGACAAGAAGCATTGGGCCAAGGCACAATGCCTACCAAAATACAATGTACATGCTAGATCTTTCTGTTCCTTTCAAGGTTTATCCATACATAATACTGAATTACCACTCAGCAGATTATAATGAAGTAAAAAGCTGTAAATGAAAAGATTCAATCTCCAGATTCAGCGTGAATTAATCAACCTCCCTTTCTGATGTATTGTCACACCAGGATTACTGCTGTACATCAGAACATCGATAGAACAAGAGAAACTGGCATTTCTTGTCGAAATTGTGTTAAACAACAAAGATAGGTGTTTGACAAGATGCAGCCCAAGTTGATAAGAAATAAACACAACTTTCACTTGATTAATTTCAAAATTTTAGCAGATCCTATGACATTCGCCTAAAGTATTAGAAATGTGCCAACAGAATGTTTTCACAAAATGACTTCAATGGATAATAGAGGAAAAGCTGGAATTGCAAATATGTTTGAGACACTTGACTTCAGAGCATAGTTGAATGACTGCCTAGCCATGAAATCCTTCCAACCTAAACTTGAAATCATGACAAGTAGTTATTCTAGCTAATGGGAAAACTTGATGACATGTATTTACCAAAATTTACAACAAATATTCCTCTGCAACGTCAGAAGACCCCAAGTCCTGAATGTAAATAGGAACTGAGATCCTCTGGGCGCATGGCAGGAGCAAGAATCAATGTTTCAACAAAATTCATAGAGGTTTAAGTCATTTAGGACAAACTTACGTATAATAGAGAAACTTAACAAGTCATACCAGTCATGAACCATAAACGACATACTCATTTTTTAGACTGTCACATTATTTAATTCAGAGAAGAAGAATTAAGAAGCCCTGGGCAAAATATGTTTTAATGCTAATTATACAAGTACCACTTTTTCCCACCAGACAGAGCTTGAAATTCAGTTAAGGTATATGCTTCCTCTTCAATTTTGATCATCAACTCCTGAAAAATTCAATGTTTCCACGAGAAGAGTTATCAGCACAGCAATCCACAAGTTCTTTTGTAGAAAGAAAGAAATTTTATTTAAAAATCATACAGAAACGCCTAGAAGGTTTATTTTACAGAGAGAGCGTCTCGAAGCCTCTGACAATCGAGAAAATAAGCAAACCCATAAGCCATGTTCTTCAAAGTGGCCTCATGGAGCTCCGAATCCGACGTCATCGTGGCATCCGCTGAGAAGAAAACCCTAAACCCTCTCACGAAAGCCTCACGCGCCGTCGTCTCGCAGCACAGGTTCGTCATCACCCCCGTCACAATCACTTCCTTTATCCCCATCTCCACAAGCTTCTCCTCCAAACGAGTATTCCTAAACGCGCTGTAGGTGTTCTTCTCCACCACCATGTCCTCCGGCTTCCGATCGAGCGTCGGTATAAGCTCCGCCTCCGGTGTGCCGTCGAAGATGAGGTCGCCGTTCCTCCACTCACCAAGCATGCCGTAGTCGGCGGGGGACTTGTGGCAGTGGCGCGTGAAGATGACGGGAATGGAGGCGTTCCGGCAGAGACGGATTGTGGTTGAGAGATTGGAAAGGATGGGCTTGGCGATGGAAGAAAAGTAGTTTTGCATGTCAATGACCAAAAGAGCACACGATTTAGGATCTGGGTCTCTCTTCCTTATCTCATATTTATTGTATGGAGATGATTTGTTCAGAGAAGACGCCATTGATGAAAACCCCCTTTGGCTCTGGTTCTGGTTCAGTGTTTTCTCTCCTCTTCCCTGTGCTTCTCCCTTGGAATTCAAGGATTTGGATTTCCTCCCGTGCCTAGAAAGTGGAGGAGGTACGCTGTTGGTTTAAATCATTAAATTAAATTTGATAATTTTTATGGGAAAATATCAACTAAAGATCCCTTAATAAAATTTATATTACTTCAGAATTAATAAATTTGTTGGTCCAAAAAATAATAATAAATTTTAAAATTATACTACAATTCCATCTTTAATTATGTTAATTTTTTTATATTGTACGATTAACTTTTACCTTAAACTCTTCGTATTCTCTCTGGCATCAGTCCATTATAAGTTCAATCTTAATTTTCAATTAGATTCAAATATGTCAAGTTCAAATATATTGAGACCATACAAAACACACCAAAAGATTTATTTTAATATATATATATATATATATATGTATGTATGTTCGCGCGCAGAAGTACTTTGATTCTTTAACTTCATTTCAGATTTTTTTTAATTTTTTAATTTTATAAATTATCCTTGTAATCTTCTTAACTCTGATATGAGAAATACATTAAAAAAAATGTTGATATTAAACTTTTAGATTTTTTTTTATTGAGAAATGATATAATTTAATTTGAGATGCAATAAATACTAAATATGGATATCTTTTCCACCAAAAGTTTACATTTTGTTTCGTTATGTTGTGAGAAACGAGTTTCTTTTACTGTATCAAATTCACATTGATTATAAATTTTTAAATATTGATAAAATATTTTTAAATATTAGACATATTAAATTTAATTTTTTAGCTAACAGTGATTAATACGAAAATAATTATTTGAGACTAATAATATCAAGAAGAGGGTTAAAAAAATACTCTATAAAATTAGGAAATTAAGCTAAAATTTTATATAAATTAAAGAATAATATGGTGCACTTTCACCTTAAAAAAATGTAATTTTACATTTTTTTAAGGGTAAAATGTATCAAGTGATTGGGTTTCAATTAGGAGTGAAAATAGGTTAGATTAATCTAAGCTTTGACTAAATATGTCTGAGCCTATGTGGTAAATCAGAAACTTGAACCTGATCTGAAGCCTGAACCTATCTAAAGTCTAACTTAACCTAAAAACTATTTAAAAGCATGCTTAAAAAGTAAACCTTTTAAATAAGCTCATATTTTAATTTTAAACATCTCAAATATATTTTAAGACTATTATAATATACAATATATAACTAAATTTATCAATTAAAATATATAATGATTAAAAGGACCGACTGACTATAATAAAATATAATAATAAAGTAATAACATGAAGATTAATATACAAGTATAATATGATTAAAAATATAACTAGAAATATAAAAGAATATATTGATTAAAAATTAAATGGTAAAACTAATATGTTTGTGATATATTACATAATATATATATTAGCCGGCCTGCTAGGTTCAGAGGCTAGATCTTGAAAAAATAAGCCTAGCATGTTTGACTAAATAAGTTTAATTAAAAGCCTGAACTTATTTTGTAAGTAAGATAGGTTAGGCCTAAAATAAGCTAGACTATAGGCTCCTGTTAAGGATCTAGTCTATTTTCACCCCTAGTTTCAATCAATTTGGTTGAGATCAAAAAAGTCATTAAAGCTTACATTAAACTTTTAATTAATGTTGTTTTAGATTTTAAAGCTCAAGCAATCAACATAAAAAATAAAATCCATGTTAAATTAAAAGTTTTAAAATTCATTATTATTTTAAAGGATTAAAATTGCTATAAGTTTCATAAAAAAAACTAAAAGTGGACTATAAGAAAATAATCTTCTACATAATTTTGATCACTTTTCTAAAACATGGTAATAACTAAATTCAATAAAATTTCTAGTAATTTTACCTTTTTCAAAACAATTATAAGTTTTAATATGTCCAAATATAATTAATTTTTATATGAAATCTTTGGGTACAGATATAATTATCAAATTAAGCTGATGAAGCTTGAGGTAAGATTCCATTTTCTGACCCCAAAAAAAAAAGGATTCCATTTACTATTGTCTATCACATTAATTATCTTATCCAAAGTATCTCTATTTAATGCACCATATTTTTCAAAATTAAATGGTTAAAAGTCAATAGTCCAATAAATCGGAGGGGTATTTCAAAAAGTCACAAATTGTTTACACTGTCATTGAAAAAAAAAAAGGCTTATTTTCTTATGCTATTTTGTTAATAGCCCAATTGAGGTTTGGGCACCCCGTTGGAATGTTAAAAGCCATCGACAATAAAATGAATATATTTGGTTAAAAATATTTTCAAAATTACTTCAAGATGAAAAAAAGTTGGATTAAGTTTGAAGCCAAGAAAATATTGCTTCTCACATTGGGGTAGTGTTTTGAAACTCGAACCAGACTGGTCTATCGACTACCCAACAAAACAAATTGGTTCAACCATTTGAATCATTTAGGCATTTGATCGGGTTGACCCAGGTTAATCTAGTCGGGTTTAAGAGAATTGGGTTTAGCTTGGAAATCAAAGCAATCAACTCAGTCCAAACCCTCAAAGGGGAAAAAAACAAGAAGGAAAGTTAACCTCAATTACTCAAATTCTCGAGTTCTCTTCTGTCTTCTTTTCTTTAATCTCTAATCTCTTATCCATGGCCCAATCTCAATCTATGATCTTTCCTCCAACTTTTGCCTCTAACTTTAGCAATCTAGCCTTTAGCATCGAGATCAGAAGCTCGTGAGTTGTGACATGATAACATGCCTCCAATTCTAGCATTTTGCTTTGAGATTGCAAGCTCATACTAACATGTCTCTACCTCTAACTCCAGTAGTCCAGGCATCTAGCCTTTGGCATTGAAATCGTAAGTACCATCAACAAATTAATATTTTATTTATACATTTGTGTGTTGAAATATTATCTTTTATTTTATTTTTATGTCATTGATTTAACCGCCGAACTAACTGATTGAACCATAAGAACCATGACTCATTACTCTTTTTGGTTTAACATTCGATCCAAGTTTCAAACATTGCATTGGGGTTGGTAAAGTTGGGCGATATTAAATGCGTTTTAAATTTTTGTTCATCTCTACCTCATGTTTTCTTATGTAGCTAGCCTCTTCTCTTTTAGTCAAGGTATTGAAAATCAAACTAATCATTAATTTGGCTAAGATATTGCTTTAATAGTTAATGTTCAAAATTATAATTGAATCATCATTGAACCATTAGAAAGAAATTTATCAATTTATTACAATAATTTAGCTTTTAAAAATTTAACATTTTACAACTTATTGAGTTATTTTAGCTTCTCAGAATTTAATATTTTATAATTTATTAATTTATTTAATATTTTTATAATTTGCAAATAATACTTAGTTACATATAGACTCTTTCTTTAAATTGTAATTTAAAGTTTAATATTTTTTTCTCAAAAAGATCAAATTAAAAACAAAAAAATATTTATCATAAAATTCATGTTATTTTTAATTTAATATTTTATAATTTATTAATTTATTTAATATTTTTATAATTTGCAAATAATACTTAGTTACATATAGACTCTTTCTTTAAATTGTAATTTAAAGTTTAATATTTTTTTCTCAAAAAGATCAAATTAAAAACAAAAAAATATTTATCATAAAATTCATGTTATTTTTAACCACTATACATCTAAACTTGATTTTGAATTTTATCAAACAAGCTTCTGTTTGTCAAACTAATTTTTTTATTTTTGAAAAAATAAAATACCCAAACATCAATTCAAAATAAAAGGAAGTACTAAGTAAGAATCTAATTAAACAAAAACTAAAGTCTTAATAAGTCTATGGAAAACCCTCCAATCCCTACACTATAAAAAAATGACTTTTTGGTGGAGATTAAAAAAGTTACCACTAAAAATAAATTTTTAATAACAACAAATTGTCGTCACCAAAAGCCAATGTCGCCACTAAAAGTATGATTTTGATAGTGACTTTTGATATTTGATGGTGACAAAAGTATTTTTATAAAAAATAATTTAAAAATTATCTATATAATTACTTTTGGTGATAATATTTATCTCTAGTAAAGGTATTTTTAAAAAAAATTATATATAATTTTAAATTATATAAAATAATTTATGAAATTATCATTTGAATTATTAAAATATATTTTGTATGAGTTATTTTAGAAATTTAAAATTAAATAAAATCATTCAAAAAAATATTTATGAAATTAAATTTCTTATTCTATATAAATAATTAAAAAATAATTGTGAAGATGTGCCAAGTTTAATTATTAAATTATTTTTATTTTTATATTATCCATAATCTTTTTTTAGACATATATAGCCCATATATTTTTAAGAATTATATTATTAAATTATTATTTTAATATGATAAATTAAAATCTTGATGTGTTGTTATTTTCAATTATAATTAGATTAAGTTGTATATAAATTATTACTTACATACAAATACAAAAATGATATTGGAACATTAAAGTTGTACAAATATCATGATACGCAAATGATATTGTAAACTATTTAGCATATTGTGCATTTGATGTTTGGTTTGGTATACATATGGTGTCTACTTCTTTTGCTGAGCTCTAATAACTTTTGGACAAGGATTTCATGTAATTTTGCTTAATATATTTAGGTTTTTATTGTTATAAAAAAAGTTGTCAATGCAATAAAAACTTGTAACTTGTCAGTTAGTGTGCTGCACACTTAACCTACAAATTGCAGTTTGAATTGGCAGACCCAAAAAAAAAGAAGAAGTTACTAATAACATTTTTATAACTAATTATTACTGAGGATAATATGAATAATTATTTAAATTCATCTTGCTATGAGATAGAGGATGATTAGATGTTAGCTAAATTAATCACATATGATATCCTTGTAATTATCTTATATTGTAAAAGTTATTAGTATTCATTAAAAGTTTCAAATTATTCAAAATGACTATTAACAAAATTTATGTTGTTGAAATTAATTTATTATTAAAATACTCTTTTAAGATATTTAAAAATTATAGATAAAATATATTTTTAATAACAAGGGAAACATTTAGCTATTTTGAAAGAAGATAAAAATTTATCATGTAGTTTATCAATTTTTGAGAAAAACATGGAG